GGCTTGTCAACAGGAATGTCTTGCAGGGAGAGAGTGTGTCCCATCTCCAGGACAGAAGACAGGAATTCCTAGAATCCTCAGGAGAAGGCCATGCCCACACAGGAATTATTGGCTATGACCTGACTGACAGATGCCACCCCTTTGCTCAAGTTGACAGATTATGTAGCCGCATAATGGGTTTGGGATGGATGTGAGTGGAGGAGAAAGATGAATACCTGGGATACCAAAAGGAAAACCGATGATCTCTTCTGGACATTTTCACCTAATTCACAGTAAAAAAAAATTGAAAAAAAATCAAAATTAGTTAACCATCTTACCTCAGAAGGAGGAATGTAATAAACAAGCATTTAAATAATCCAAAAAAAGGTTGGAGGTCATTAGGCTTGTGATTAAAAGGTTTAACTTCTAATTTTTGTGTGTTTTCCCCCACTAACCCTGTATAGTTACTTCTAGCAAAATGCAAAAAATTTCCATAATTACTTACCCATGTCCAAGAAACTATGACTTTTTAAGTGTGGGGAATATTTTGAGAATTGTTAACAAAAAGTTCTTTGTTTCTCATAGTTTGAGTATTTTGAACTTGGGATAAGTAATAATTAAAACTTCTTCTTTTTCAAATTTCAACAGTGATCCGTATGTGAGAGTGACGTTATATGACCCGATGAATGGAGTTTTTATAAGTGTGCAAACGAAAACCATTAAAAAGGTTAGATTTGGCTGGATTTAATCTTTAAAAATGTACTTTGTATTATTTTATACAACGAAGTACTTTTAAGATTAATTATACTCTTATTACCTTTTAGACTTTGAATCCAAAGTGGAATGAAGAAATATTATTCAGAGTAAGTAGACATTTTATTTCATTCAGACAATAAAAATATTTTTTTCTGAGTAGGCTTGAGTATAAGTTCTCACTTGTTATTAAAATGTATTTGATAAGAATTTGCTGAAAATTTTAAAATTTGAAAAAGAATATAAAACTATATGGTGATATGATTCTGAAATGATTTATCTCATAAAAAATATAACTGTATGTTAACAGAGGTGAAGTATTATTATAAATCTGGAATATTTGTAATCTAATTTTAAAAAATGGACATAGACACTATATAAAAACCATGTTCCAATGTAGCAGATTTTGGTGGTTTCCTTTAAAGATAATATTGTATGAATATCTCCAAGATCATTTATCAGTAGATAAAAGAGAATGAGAGCCTATCAATAAGTAGATACATTTCTTCCTCTATGTCCTTCACTTACATTCTCGCCTACCATGTTACCTCTCACTGTACCCATGAGACACTCCACTCAGCCGCTCTTTCAGACTCCTTGGAAAGGCTCGTGATTGGAAGGTCTCCTTGTGCCTATCTACACGTAATTCCAGAGTCCATAATGAAGCCAGAATCAGTGCCCTCTCCACAGTGGTAGGCATTGTTGTATTTGTTAGGTGTTGTGAAGTTACCCCAACTTATAATGACCCTGTGCTCAACCTAGCTAACACTGCTCGATCCTCCTCCTCTAATATCACAGCATATGACCTTTTTATGTCGGACTTTTTTCATTTAGCATAATGCTTTCAAAGTTCATCTTATCTGTGACTGTACATGAGATATGTGAGGAGGTACCCCCAAGAAACCCAGAACTTTTTTTCAAAGCTATGAATTTAAATTTTTTTTACAAAACAACCTTATCACCTTCAAAGTACTCTCCATTACACTTAATACATTTGTCAAAAAGCGGGTGAAGAAGCAAATGTGGTGAAGAAAGCTGATGGTGCC